AAAATTGGAGTATTGAAAGCAAATTGAAGCAGAAAATGGAGAGTTCACATGGAATGGTGTTAGGAGAATTATGAGTGGGTGTACAAGCTCCACTGTTGGAGACACCCAGCCATATCGCTCAGTGTTTCTAACCATCGGTGACCATCATCTGGGGGTTCCCAACCAGGGAGTCTAAAGGGGTCTATGTGACCCATTCTCCTGGTTAGGGTTTTCATACCATCATGCTGGGTCTTCGTTTGACCACCCTTGACCTTTTCCCAACCACTACCTGCCTCGGCAAACATCGCTCGCCGTGACAACCTATCTGGTGACATGCGTAACACATGCCCCAACCAATGTAATCTATGGAGGTCGATCACTTGCTCCAGTGGACGACCGCGACTGCCTAAAACTCTATGCCTAACCTCGGCATTACTCATCCGGTGACCCCACCAGACTCGTGCAAAGGGACGTAGACAACGGTATTAGAATACCGGCAATCTCTTCATCCTGTTTCCGTAATGGCCAAGTCCCTGCACCGTCGAGCACGACTGGCCGAACTGCTACAGCTTATACTCGACCCTTCACAGACAGCTGGATGTGGCGACGGCGCCACAGGTGTCTCAAGTTGACAAATGTCAACCGAGCCTTCTGTATGCGCGCCGACACTTCATCCGTGGAATGGAATGAGATCGATAGCTATCGGAGCTACCAGTGTCTATTAGTGCCTGAAGTTTAACACCATTGACACAAACGGTAATGGTGGACAAACAAGTGGGAGGGACGGTGGTAAAGGTGGAGAACAATAAGGGACTAAGGGTGGATGTAATCGATGGATGTTTCGGTTTGGATTTACACACGTTTGAAGTGTCCAATTCTTCCACAGGCTTTGCAGACGGCCTCCGTAGAGGGTACTTGGTTTTGGATAGCCGCAAAATTAACACACCTCTTTGGAGGCCACTGATGAAACAGGTTTAGGGTCGGCGACGGCAATGGTCGGAGGAAGTGGATTAGTCGACGCACATGGAACGCCCTATGTTTCATATGACCGCGACTGCTTTTGGGCAATTTGAAGGGACCTTGACATATTGTATATATATATACAACTATATGAACAATATATATAAAGCTTATTTTGACAGTGATTTTGAATACTTTTCCACTGTATTGCCGCCATGCATTATTCGTTTCTTTGATGACAAGGTTTTATAAGCACCGCAACAAACAGCAGTAATATTTGTGATGCTCAACCTGCCATCGCACGCATCTACAACGTGGGGCGCTTTTAAATGGACGAAAATATAAAAAACCTATCGTCTCACTAACGTGGAAGATTAGTAGGGAGTAATTGAATGTGCATGCAGATGTGCTGAGTTTAAAGAAACTCTCACACTAGAATCCATACGAGCGGAATATGCTGATTAGCTGCCGTGACTTGGTTGTCATGGACGAGACTTACTCTACTATATAATGCTGTCTCAGCTATGGACGCTCCAGATGGGGTTGTAATGCAGTTCGAAGTCTACCGTCCCGTAAAGGACCTAACTTCAACGGAATAGCATATTCACCCCTCACCGGTATCTTTAAGTGTAAATGACACAAAGATTACTTGATATATTTTTAATAGGTTTTTGTCAAGTTGTTCTGTGTCTTGCTACCGAGAAATTACGGTTGCTAGTCCATTTGTTTTCATCCTTGACGAAGAATCCGTTAATCGGGGCACTTTGAATGCATGATTGCACACCACCCATCAAATTCGGTGTCACACCATCTAGTCCGTTTTTAACCCACTGAAAGAGGCTTCGATACAGATAGGCTTTTTATTACTTCAATTTGTCTAGTTTTAAACAATAAAAACTGGTGCATTGAAAACACTGCACTCAGACGGATTGTGCCCAATGGTTCAACAAGACGGGTGCTTCGTTTAAACCTTCAATCGATATGCGGTGCAGCATCTGTCACCATTGCAGAAGTCCACTTCAAAACATACGACCAACACCTTATTGGTTCACCTGAATATTGTTTTCCGTCTGTTCCATCTGAGTAAGCAAGCTTTTAGGTTCCACTTCGGCTCATTTTACAACGTGATATTGTGTCTGAAGAATAAGTTTACCAACGTTCTGAATATCGTTTCCGCTATCCTTATCCAGGCGGTCCTAGGAGGGAACTATGTCCTTACCCATTCCTCCCGTCTCTTGGCCGAAATCGGTGATACACAAGTGATATCTGTGCTCTCCCAGGTGATCGCCGACCTTATACACGGTAAGCAAGATTGAATTATGTACATTTTCTACCCATACGCTTACTTTTCATTTACTTCATACACTAGTGTGCTTTTGTTTTAGGAGAGCTGATGCAATTATCGAGCAGTGCTGATGACACGCAACGGTTCCAAGCTTATCTGGATAAAACATACAGAAAAACGGCCAGTTTGATAGCCAATAGTTGCAAAGCGGTAAGCCGTCGGGCATATACATTTATTATCCCCCGTTTTCCCCCGATTCATTGGAAGATGCGTTGTGTGTATGCGCGCGGTCTCCGTGCTTTAAGTTGGTTAACTCCATTTTCATGGATTTGCGGTATGCAGCATTCAATCAGATCATGCATTGCCCCGGGATTCGTTATCTAGTCGGATGTCATGGGCGGTTCATATACTGACTGCGCGTAAAACTAGACATTGATATGAATTCTATCCAAGAACTGGATGGATGTTTTCAGTTGTAAAATTATATGGATTCGTACCTCCTCTTCAGTCGATATTCCTTGCTGCTGGATGCGTCCCACAGTTGTGATATACGGCTAGTACCAGTCCTATGCAGGTATCATTTGAACATGCCTCCAATAATCCGTGTAATTCATTGTTTCATCAGGTAATTAACGTTTAACTAAGCATATTCTTGTTACAGAATAATAAAAAACAGTGTACGAAACTTCGTAATTGAATGTGTCTTCCCGACCACGTGTTTTTTCTTCTCTTCTTTGAGCATCGGATAGCCCCGGCATTTGGGGCAAACATGAACAAATGCAAACTGGTTTCCAGCTCCCTCCGCTGGAGTAAACTTAATGTTTGGATGCGTGTAGTTGAATATCACCAATCAATGGTTCATTGGTAGCAATATCCACGTCTATGAAGCAATATATCATTGCCATCGTTTGTATAGCTTACATTTTTGAATGAAACCTTTGAGGGTTTTGTTCTCTAGCATTGCTGTAAAGACACAAACAGCGGGCTTAGTGGGAAGCCCATCGCCACGCCGTCCTTTTGACGAGAAACAGAGTTATTGAATTTGAATTGCACATTGTGTGCAAAATTAAAAACAGCTGTTTTAAATCCTCACTCGAGATTCCCATATTAATATCATCACTTTGGATGTAGTCCGTGTGATATTCGATCCGTTCTTTGATAGGAAAATTAGTGACTAGTAGAGTTACATCTAGGGACGGCGTTCGTAGCTCGGTTACATTCACATCCTAAGTAGTGTCCACTAAATTAGTTGTTATCGGTCCCAATTTGCTTAACCAGCGCGTAAGAAGGTGAACTGTACGTCAAATATTGGCTCGAATGGAACACCGTTCCTATGCATCTTTAGTGGTCCGTATATCCTCGTTAACCTTTTTCAGAGTCAAAGTCAAAGTTTTATTATGGGCGATTTCACAAAGCTAAAGCTTTTCATGCTCCATAGGATTTGTACAGAATATTTTGAATAACTTCACAAATAGAAAATAATAATGATAGCAATCTGTATAATCACTCATGGATTCCGAAATTTTAAGTGTTCCAATGCTTAATCAAGTTACGATTTAAATAGTTCAATTGTAGGAGCACACTACATCAGATGAAAGAGAATTTCATACGCCGCACACTGACTGCAAACGAGTGATGCCGGCAATGAAGGTGGCTGTTCTGGGTCTTCATCTTTAGTGGATGTCCCCTGAGGTGATCACTTTGAGATAAAGTTAGCATAGAACGGTGAGGGTGATAAGGTTGATGCAGTATGTGATATGCCAAGATTAGGTCCCCCCGAAGTCGGCAATATTGAGATGGGTAGAGTCCCAATATTTGCATTCTTTCGGAGTATGTCTTGTTATACAGACATCTTTACCAATTTTGTTACCAGCCTTTGCGGACGTTCTAGAGCCTTCTTGTCGCGGTTTAACCATGGATTCCATACTTGAACGGCGTACTCCGTATGTGGCCGAACGAACGCTGATAGTAAGCTTGGGAACAGTGCTCTTTTGAACTGCCCGAAAACACGTTTGAGTCCTACAACTTGCTTTAGAGCCATGAATGATGCTCTGGCACAATGCGTGGAACATCCTACGTCCTCCTGTACCATAACTCCCAAATCCCCTTCTTCAATGGCATGTGGTAGTATTTGGTTACCCAGAACATAGGAGAAACGAGTCTTGTGCCGCATGGAAATAACTCTGCATTGGGGAACTTTTAACTCAATGTCATTGACGACTGACCATCGGTGGGCTGCATTGATCGTTTGTTGAAGTGCTATTATAATCCGCTGGATATGTTACAGTTCTTCAGATCTTAGCAGTGTATTAGGCCCAAGGACATGTGGCAGGTCGTTTATAAATGCCAGAAAGAGACGAGGCCCCAGTACGGCTCCTTGAGGAACTCCTCGGGCAGCGGTGATAAGCTCTGATCATGAATAACCAACACAAACTGACATAGTCCTTTGACGGAGAAACTCCTTGATCCAGTCCAAAACCAAACCTCTTACTCTTGTCGGATACGCTGAAAAGGGTTCACATTTATCACACCTTTTGGTCTTGGACATCGCAAGTTCTGGAACAACTTTTTATCTGTTTTTTTATCGCCTTCCTTCTTTTTCTTGAACTTGTCCCGGTCATCGAGGATGGCGTTTGTCTGTACCTCAAGGTCCTGCTTGTTCACACTGACAACAGCTGTGCCTTTATCCGCTCTGAAAAGTGTTTTCTGTCCCCGTATTTAGCTGCAGCTCTTTTAGACATCTTGTATGTTCCATTGTCACCAAACTACTAATCGCGTGCCTGTTCCCTCCGGAATCCTATAGCACTTATTCATATAGGTCGCTTTTAGCTTTACCAAGTCTGATTATGAAAACGGAATCAGTTCCAACCACGTCAACTTCAAAAGTTAATTTCTTGGCTGTGTCCCGAGAAACAACGCGATTATCCTAATGCGAGAACTTCCATCAAATATTTTTCCATCGCAGTTGTTGCCAAGTCATGCCCAAGTCTTTCCGGAGTTTTCGACAGCTCACTGATAGATTTTTTTCAGATTTATTAAATTCACGAACGATTAAACAACAATTAAGTACTCGTATTCTTACGTCAATAATAACACCAGTATGAACTGAAATGATGCATGTTTTCGTCGTTCAAATGGTCCACTTTTATCTCTCTACCACTGTGAGCATGACGCTAAACAGTGACGTTTGACCTACAGATCCAGCACCTTCTCAAGTACTTCCAATAGCTTTTAGGATATGAGGATTTCTGAATACACTGGTCGATAAAATCAAAACAAGTCTGAAAAACAGCCAGCTTTGTAGGGAAACATTTCAAGTTCCTTATTTTTTGGAATCGTCCCATTAGATCACCGACACACATTTTGAATAAGACACTGTTTCGAACAATACCTATTTATCGTGATTCCAATTGTGCCGTCTATCAGCTCGTATCGAAACTGAGTAAAATTGNCTTCTCCAACAATTGCCAATCAATTTATCTGTCCCATAGTAACAAAGGAGAACAGAATTTATTATCTTAGCTCATCAGTAAGTGTTCAGTTGTTCTCCGGGAAGAGGTCTACTGTCAAACAGATTCGGAGAAAATTAATCAGTGAAAAAACGCTGTATTCTGACAGCAATGATGTTCATAACCATCGTTCACAACTACCACAGAAATCAATCCGCGCTCTTGNGGTTTGAAGCGTAGTTCTGATGTGATTTTACGAGGAGAACGAAAGTACACAATCCCCACAGGTTCGAATTAAGGCAAAACTACTCTTAAATATTATTGTTTATTCGTACATCATTAATCAAAAACACAAATTACGCTTAAGCGTTCTCCACAAACTGGTGTTTTTGTCCGTGTTTTCTCGGCGCACTCTGTTATATCAAACTTGCTAGACGAATTCCAAACTCCAACGTACGTCCTCACTAAAAGCTATCCCTTCTAAACAGGTTTTTCCTTCATTCCTTCAGGCTGCTATGCTCACCCGACCAACCCTGGATCCGGATATGATTGAGACCGTGTTCGAGTTCGGTCGACATTTGGGCATGGCGTTCCAACTGATCGATGACGTGCTGGACTTCGTCGCGGATGAAGAAAATCTGGGTAAACCGGCTGGCGGTGCGGATTTGCAAGTTGGTATCGCTACTGGTCCGGTTCTGTTTGCCGCCCAAAGTGTATGTTTAACCAATCGAGTCACTGAGCAGAAGAGGCAAACTCTGTGTTCACAATTTATGCTATTAGTTTTGTCTAACCTTTTCAGTTCTGTGTTATGCTGTCTTCATCGCTGTATTCCCTTATTTGTGTATGGGTGTATTGGCGTACGCCATTCACTTTGTGCGCATCTTATGGTATCACTGAAAAATACATGAGAGTGTCTGTCTGTCTGCCCTAGCTGAAAGACAATGCATACATGTTTTGTTCTTCCTACGTGCCACCTATGGTACTCTTTATCTCGTTGTTTACACATCTTTCAATTCTATTTGTCCCAATTTGCACTCAAACCAGCTTTGCCGATAATCATATGGTGCATCGTTTGATTTCAGTTCCCCGAATTGGACGCTATTCTTCTTCGACAATTCAGTCTGGATGGTGACAAGGAGCGCGCTCTGGAACTAGTTAGATTAGTGAGTGTGTTATATTNNNTTATATTTATTCCGTTCTGTATGGATCATCACGAATAACCTGCTCATTAATGTCGCTTACTGACTGGTTCACGTTCCTGATCCGCAAGTTGCATAGTATTGCACTCTTGAGCGCCTTTTTCCTTACCAGTCAGTGTGGATTTACGATCCAATCCAAAGGACTAACCCGAAATTTTCGCGTTTCTGATCTGATAAAATACTTAACGGTCGCTAAGTTCACATTCGCCCGTCCTTTCCCATTGATCATCCAATCATGTGATGCAGTTGTCCTTGTTATATATTGGTCAATATCCTTTCGGGTAGTTTGTCCGTGACTCTTCTCGTCCTGGTTTTAGGTTGTCATTTAATCGATCGATTGAAATATTAACCCCGGTCTGATCAGCATACTGTCTTGTGCGTTCTGGTTTTTTATGTTGCGTTACTGGCCCATAGCAATACTGTACATTGACGTTGCGATCGAAATTAAGTCTTATCAGGGATAGTTCATTCACTTCCACCAAGTGCTTCCCGGTCTTTTGGTTCGGGCCAATAATCTAAATTCTCCGACGCGTTCTGACAATCAGAGACCTTTTTTACTTAGACTATTTCTAAACATTAAAATGAACCAACTAAAGTGCCAACTAGTGCGACACAGCTTACTGATGCGTAGTGGACTACCACTGAGAAGTCCTTTGTCAGTAAGTTAATCTCTGCTTAAATAGTGTTTGTTGTCATTCAGTGGACAGTAGATTGTGCAGTTTCTGCTTGAAACCAACTGGGATAGCTTAATGTGATTTCATTTCAACTCTACCCGTCCAAGTTTAAAACATCACACCCTTGGTGGATGTGCGTCACTTCGAAAGCATTTCGGTTATATGTACCAAATGTTGGCACATCAAGTGACGGATGAATACGACTCCAAATGGATACACTCGTCGGGTTAGCCAGTCACAATTGAAAGCAATCAATGAAAAGCAGGGCTTAAAAAGAAATAGTTCCAATAAGATCTCCGTTTGGTCCTAACCAAATATCAAATAAATCATCGTATTTCATCTAGATCATTCGACATGTAATCTCGATTCTCTCAGCGCTCGATAAAATTGCGTCTATTGTGCGAATTCATCCTAATTTAATAACGAACTCAACGAAAGTACGGGGTGTGTGCTCCGTATGTTAACATATTACAGCATGTGGTTATCTGTGATACAAATATGAGCAAACTGTTTGTTAATGGTGGAATAATCAGTCGATCAGTGGATCTCAATCGGATGTTACATTTGCGCTCAAATGAAAGTGCTTACCGATGGAAGTGGTATGTCAATTGTTTATCATTTTCGTCGTAAATGTGGAGTCATTCAAGCCCCCATACGATGCCAAGGAACTATCTCATCATGCTGGACATAAGCCCATGAGTGCTACCATCCTACTGCCCGTTATCCTCATTTCCAAGATAACGCATTACAGAGCCCATCGATCGAAGCAGCTTTTGACAACATATTCTGTTTGACCGGTTGATTTGTTAATGCCGTGACGTATGTGATCGAGTTGATGAAGTTGAAACGATACTCCCTCCTTAGATATGCTTTCCCGCTTTGATCGTAATCACATCTATCAATAGTTCTGAGAAAAGTTGATCCTTCTGTTGCCCTATTGCATTTTGTTGAATCATGGTGTTCAAAATGGGGCTCTTTTCCGAACATACTTAGAGACAGTATGTTGGTAAGGTCTATCTTGTCAACATATCTTTCCCCCTCAATACCATATAGCTATTCCGACCTATTGAAACATGTGCTCATAGTTACACACTACGAAGCACCTACGCATTCGTTGAACCTGTGGGTGGTGGTGGCGCAGTGGTTTAGTCGCTGTCGCCGGCGTGCTTTGGACCCTATAGTCCGAGGTTCGAGCCCCGCCACCCGACTTTGGTGGTAGGCAGCTCTGCTGTCGTCCGGTTCAATACCACGCCTAACCTTTCGGGGCCTTATGTGGTTCGCCACTCCAAGTCCCGGGGCTTAGGTTGCCGATTTCAACCACTGAACAGCAGGTTCTCGTGACTATGGGGTTTACCCCGTCTACTGTTCATCACACCTAGGTGTGTAATATAAAAAAAACTAAACACAAATAATAGTCACATTTCTATCTTTGCATCTTGATTGTATGTGACAAACTTATCCAGAATAGTTGTCTGCCCCCAAATTACAAATGAATCATTATCTGCCATGTTTGATTACGTCCACGTGGAATGACACAGCTGACTTTTGCCTTTCAGAAAAGTATGCACCATTTGAGGGAGTGGTGGTTATGGTTCCACTGGGCCCAGGTCTGGCTGATCCGTTTTTGGCTAGAAGTCCGAAACAGACGGCTCAGATCTTGAGGTCTGTACGTAGTATTCGCTTCGCTCAAAAATCTGAATCAAACGACCGATTATCTTTCTCGGACTTTCCCACATTGGTTGGTGGGAGGTCTGAATACGTTGGTCGCTAACTTTGTGTACTTAGTTTTCCTCCATCCAACAAAAACTTGTACTCCTTGAAACTTGTTCTGATCAGGCGAATTTAAAAAAAATAACCCACTTGACGAGCAGTACAACAACGCGTTACAGTTCATTCACAATGACTTTGTGGATGCGAAAACCCCCAGCATATCAGTCGTGATGGGACCCTATGCAGAGACCATGTAGATTCAATGTTACTTCAGCTATTCATGTCGCTGTTGTTTGTCCGTTCTTTATTCCATCCATTTTTGCACTGTAGTATGATTCAGATGTGAACGTGTCTCTTCAGATAAGATGTTTTTTAAGTTCTCAAGTGACTCAACAGACCTACATCAGTAAAACATTTGGACAATTACATAACCCGAGTGGTCACACATCGAGATGAGTACAACTAGAAACAAACTTAAGGTGTGTTACGCAACTGCATTCAATCAGCAAACGTATGCGCAAAGACCGGTGTTATTTTATGCATTATATACTGATGTTATACATTACGATTGCTCTATCTTTTTCGGTCGTCTCGTCCCTCTCACCCGTGACCTTAGTAAGTACATTCCCTCTGACCCTTAATGCGATCTGATTGGATCATATTCCGCGACCTGTGGCGCTTAAAATCTCTCACCCCAACATGAGACTGACTGATTACCGGCTTGTACGTCTTGTAATGCTCTTGTTGTTCCGTCCAGTCCATTCGAGTGCTGATGGCACACCTGCTACACAGTCGAAGTACACTGGGCCTGCCTGAGACTCAGCTGTAAAAAAAGATGTGGTTTCTCGCTCGGGTTAGCTCGGCAAGCACCAGGTCCCGTGTTGCGGCTGAACCATTCGACCGATCGGTAGTGATTTTCGGGCCGGCACAGGAGGAAGATAGGTTCCGAATCCCATGCAGCCTATGTTGGTAGAGAATCAGTTGTGGAGCGGTGCGCCATGTGGGGAATTCCGAATGAAAAATGCTTAAGCGATTATGACACTGGGCCAACGCTTG